TGTTACACTGAGAAAAATATCCGATTAAATATAATCGGATAATCCAATTACATAATAACAATCGGTTTTTCGTTCAAGTTTCATCGGCAACTGCATTTCATCAGATAAATTTTATCGGATAAATACATAAGTTAATCGGAAAAATTAACCATCGGAAACGCTATTTAATTGGTTTGTCCGATGGAAACTTTTCTCAGTGTACAATATGTGAAGATCTCGAGTCAAAGTCCGGAGTCGAAAACGGTTTGAGAATCGAGCCAAAGTGAGCTAATTACCTTCCTAGAAGACAACTGTTTAAAAAAAAATGTTTTCTTTTCCGCGCAAATAATACGTAGATAATACGCAAAAAATACGTGTCTCTTTTTCACTAGCTGTCGGACTACATCTGATTTTTTTTATATGAAAAATAGACTGCTACCCCACAACAGATTTCAATAATTACGTCCCTCAAGAAATATCATATTAAAGAGCGAGTTAAATCGAACGTGACCTAACGCGTGTTTTTTTTTTAAGAAGCACTAATTCGATTATAAATTCACACCGCGGGATCCGTCCGTCTGTCGTCGGTAGCGAGATTCCCGCGCTTCTCCGAGGGCTCCGGCTAAGGTTATGGTTTGCTCTAGGAGTGCATTAACCCCTCGTCGGATCGCGAGAGCACACCGCAGAAGAAGTGCACAACCGTCGCGGGTGCGGGGGGGGGGGAGGGCGGCGGGAGATTGGGAGGAGCGGGCGAGGGGGGCTGGCAACAGCGTGCACCGTAGTTCTGGTCGTCAAGGCGAGTGCGATGGCAAGCGGACTCTTTTACGGGGCTGGGAGTCGCGGAGCGGGGGGGTCGGGGTCCCACGAAGTACGGGGGAGGACGAAAGGGGGGACCGCGACGGCGACGACGACGACGACGACGGGGCGGCCGGACTTTCTCCGGAGAGCGAAAGTGAGAGGGCCCCCCCCCCGGGAGTGCGCGTTCGTTCCCCTGGCCGCTCGTGATCCAGAGGGCAAGGGGGTGGGAGGTGGTTCGGTGCTTTCACCGTGCCCCGGCGAGATGCACTTTTCCGCGACGCAGAAGCCGAAGGCGCGCGCGCGCGGAAAAATATGATTTTAGAGCGATTAGCTGGAACAACGGCCGCGAGCGACGAGGAAACTAACAACGGCCCCGTACGCGAGATACGCTCCGGGGTCCGGGGATACGCCACGCTCCACTGTTCTCTTTCGCGCCGGCAAGGGGGAAACGGTACGACACGAAAATTAATGGTGCCGCGAGCCGTAATTACGGAAGAGTAGCGGTGTAACGTGGCGCAGTACGGTCGACGTGTCATTTTGACGCGGCTCTCGGCGATAATGCGCGATGCCCGTGGGTAAGTGCGCGCAGAGAGTGGATGAACCTTAAATACACACGGCGCTGATATCTTTTCCGGACTTGTTGCTATTAAAGTTTAATGAAGTCGACCTTTTTTTCTTTTTTTTAAATGAAGATATACGCTTTAATTGGTTCTCGAATTAAAATTCTGCCGAAGGAAAGTCTACTTGAAATTAAACGAAGGACGCGATTCTTTTCGTCGCGTATTCGCGCTTTCGACGCTTAATTTATGAACACCTCTCGAGCTGTGGCTGCTTATAATTTAAAAGTCATAGCGGCCTCGACATTTTTATTAACGTCATAGGCTAGGTGGACGAAAGGAAGTACGCAAAAGCTGTTATCTAGTATATGTTAATAACCGATGCTACGACCATGAAACAGCCAGCATCCTTCTCAGATTGGCCTTTAGTATCTGCGCTAAAGAGAAAGTGCTCCATGCCTAGGACAGGCTGCGCATTTAAGATACGATCTGTACATATATCGATATACACTTAAAGCGCCGTGTGCTATTGTATCTCGAATTTCCCCGCATGTTTTAATTTTTCAATTAAGTAAAAAAAATAATCGTCACAGCAGCCCTTCCAAAAATACCGAAAAGGCATCGGAAATATCACGTACATTAAAGCTTCCACCTCAGTACATTGTATATCGCCTCTGCACGAGAAAAGTAACTCAAGACAAAAATGGCAATTTTACAGGAGAACGACTTTGCACTTTTAATCTACTTGCAGATCGCAGCTACAATCACACGGTCTGTTAAATTGCTCTTATCCCTTTTTCTTTTCTCACCTCTCTCAATCTTTCTCCGTGTAAAAGTTTTCTCTCCTTACCGACTACTATTTTTGAACGAAATATGATCTTCGCATCGGTCCATTTTTTTCGACGAAATTTTTATAACTGATGCATGATCGCGATGCCTTTTTTGGATAAAAGTACATACAATATTTTCGAGCTGATGAGTTATAAAAATGCAAGAACTTATATTTTTGCTTCGTGTCACTTTTCTCGTGTGAAAGCGATATATAAGCTACAAATGTACACATCACCCTCATCGATCGTTAAAAGCCAATATTTTCGATAGCTTCGCGACCGGTGACAGATCGCGAGACTGCCCCAATCAAAAGGTTGCGGAAATAGAATGTTTATATTTGCAATCGCAGTCGTGAGATATCGACTCGCGAGACACCGATCTCTCGTCGCTGATAAGCAACGACACTTGTCGCCGTGACGGGGTTAATCGTGTACGCCGCGCCGCGGTTTTCTGGCGGGCACCGACCCGGTACCGTAATCGACATCGAAACTTTCTTATTCCCGGCAACGCGCGCATTCCGCCTCGTGTTGCCTCGAGGGTGGGAGGGAGTGAAAGAGACATTTACGAGGGCGACGAGCGCTAGAAGGGAAAAACCAGTCGCGGAGCGTGAGTTTAGTCACGGTGGAACGGCGCGACGCCGGACAATCGCGCGAATTAACTTTCTTCGCCGCCTTCGACTTCCTCGTTGCCGATGCTCGCGCGCCGCGGATTAGAGCTCTATCAGCTTTTACCTCCGTTGTCTTCGCCGCTCGTACGAGCCGCCCGAAGGCCACGCCGTACACCAGCCTGACCTCTCCTCTTTTTCATCTCGACGCTCCTTCCTTTTTTTTCCCTTCCTCGTTTTCTCGCCAAAGTCCTTGCATCTGTCGCGAGAAAGTCCAGTCCCGGCGACCTCCAGGTTTTGATTCCCCGTATAATTTCAGGGGCGCGACTTTGACGTAACGACTTAATAACGTATACGCGTTGGGTGTTTGTCTTGCTGAAAATTAATTATAATGTT